GGGGTTGCAGGGCCGTGGGCGGGGTTGCTGGGGTTGGGGCAGGGGCGGGGGTGAATGGCTGGGTGCGGGGGTCGGTGGTGCCCAGTGCGGGGGTCCAGGGGTAAAACCCCGACCCCGGCTCGGGCCCCGGGGATTCCCGAGGCTCTGGCACTCCCCTTCCTAGTCCTCGTCTTCCTACTCCTCCAGCCGGGGCTCCTCCACCATAGCCAAGGTGGGGAGCTGGGCGCTCCTTCTTTCCCAGCAGTGCTGCTTCACCCAACGCTGCTCCAGCCAGCGCTCCAGCAGGGTGTCGCCAAACTTGCACCCGCAAAATGAGGAGGATCTCTTTGCTGCTCCAGGAGATATAGTGGCCTGCTTGCCTCTTGGGCGGTGACTCTTAGGCTGCACGGCCTCCAAGCAACTAGTACATCCTCCCTTTCGGAGGGAAACATCATTGCAGACTTTGTAATTGCCCGTACAGATCCTAGACTCAAACTACTTGGACTGGTACCCGCCTAGACCTAGCCTACAACTACTGGGCCTCTAAAAGTGCCAACTTTGTCTTCTTCTGCTCGGCATTGAGTACCTGACCCATCTTCCTCTACTTGGTGTGGTACCAGCCTACTTGCTACTTAGTGTTCTTCTATTGTCGCGGGGCTCTTTCCCCGCCACTTGAGTGTTTTGCAACCGTCAGTGTCACGGCCACAGGTAAGTACCTGCCCTTCGGCGTATGGACGAGTACCCTTGCGGGTCAAACACACACTCAAATCGACAAGCACTCAGACAGGCATGCAGACCACCAAGCATGCACACACACAGACTCAGAAAACTCGGCAACAAGCGGGAAACTCAGCAAGGCATGCATTACATTGACAAAACTCAGAAATCATTTGTGTGTCTCAGTCCGTGTTTGGCAGGTCCTCACACATCTCTATACTACTAAAGGAAGCGAAGGGCCCGGTGACATGCCTGGTCGCGGGCCCAGCGAAATTGGTGGGAGCAGGAGGGAGGCGGACAGGCCTGCGAAGTCAGAGGCGCTCGAAATTCCAAGCGCGCGGTGAAAAATGGGACCGCCTTGGGGGCGAGGCCGAGGCGGAGAGGCCCGCGCGCGCGTAGGAAAAGCGAAGCGCTGCATGTGGCGGCCGGGAGGGGGTCAGGCCGACGAAATTGCAAGTGTGCGTGGCGCGCGGTGAAAAACGGGACCGCTTTGGGGCCGAGGCCAAGGCGGAAAGGCACACGCGCGTGTCGGAAAAAAGAAGCCGCTTTGGGGGCGCGACCGAGGCGGAAAGGCACACGCACGCGTCGGAAAAGAGAAGCGCCGGATAGGACGGTTGGGAGAGGGTCAGCGCGATGAAATTGCAAGCGCGCGGCGAGAACCAGGAGCATGCGGCTAGCGTGCAGTGGCCGAGGCGGAGAGGCCCGAGGACGTGAAGGCCGACGCAACGGGATGGCGGAACCTGGCCGTGGACGTGAGGCGGATCAACGCCGATGCAGTGTGATCGTGGAACCTGGYCGCRGACRGGAGGCGGGTRGCGACCATGCTGACAATGTGCGTGGGGGGSGSGGGGGGGSGMSACCGTGGGCGCGTGTTGATGCAGGACGATGGCGAAGACATCAMGRRGRGGGGTGAGGAAGGAAGAGGCGGTCGCTGGGGCGGAGGGGGGGGAGGAGGCCAATCTGGACGTGCAGATAAAAGGGGACCGCATGGCGTAGATAGTGGATTGTGAGCACGTGCGCGCGGCAGTGGGGAAGATGTTGGTGCGCGCTGCGTGCACACAACAACTTGGGAGAACGTGCGCGCCGCGGTGCAGACAGGACAGGGGCCAGTGAATGTGGGCAGGAGACGTGCCGGGTCCAATAGAAGAGGAAAAAGGGAAGACGTGCCGAGGAGATGGCGGATCGAGGTATGTTGTTGCCCCTCTCTCTCTCCCTCTATGTGTGTGTGTGTGTGTTATCAGGGGATTCAACCTGAACTGTGTGTAAGAAGATACCAATCTAGCGACAGCCTTGAGAGAAATCATCGATTCTCCTCATACCGATCTTAGGATCCTCTCTCTTTCTCTCCTCCTCCCTCTCTTTCTTGGTTGTATTGTCTGCACATGTGTGTGTGTGTGTGTGTGTGTGTGTGTGTGTGTGTGTGTGTGAGAGAGAGAGAGAGAGAGAGAGAGAGAGAGAGAGAGAGAGAGAGAGAGAGAGAGATGAGGGGAGGGGAGTCCCGTGGGAATTTCACAATCTGATCAGGGGTTTGATCGTTGACAGTATGGCCTGGAAGAATTCGACTAATGTATTGGCCTGGGTAAGAATTCGACTGATGTATTCCTACATGCTACGTCGGTCGAAGTTAGCGACACCCTTGAGAGAAATCATCGATTTTCCTCATACCAATCTTAGGATCCTCTCTCTTT